GCAGATAGAAACTACGTTGGTAGTAGTTAGAAGCTGCGTTGGTAGTATTTAAGAGCTGTGTTTGGCAGCGGATGAAAGCTGCGTTAGCAGCATTTAGGAGCTATGTTTGTAGCTGGATTGAAGCTACATTTGCATTGATTTGACCCTGAAACAAGGCCACTTGTATTTTATTTCTAGGATATAGAGATGAGCTCTGCAGCTTAGACTGAAGAGATCGTTGACTTGTAATCTCTTTTGTCAGAACGTTACAAAGATTGTTATTTTATAATCTTTGCATTAGCTCCTTAAAATGTAAGAGCTATCAGATTGTAATTCTCGCTGTTAATTGTGAAGACTGTTGAATCAGAGCTCTCATCGGTTGCCGTGAAGGTCGTCGAATTGTAACCTTTCTCGATCTACGTGAAAATCTTCTAATTGTAGCATTTATTTGTTAATATGAAAATCATTTGATTGTAACCTTCATTGTCGAGTTGTTGATGCGGAAGTCATCAGATTAAAACTTTTATCGTTGGTGTTTGATGGGGATCAGCTATCTGCAGTAATTTTTAGACAGCCTACAAACCTTCATAATCAATAATGCATAAAATTTACTCATTGCTCTAAACAATAAAAAGTAGAAATACTTACACAAACAAGTTGGGTACACCCTTGCAGATATACAATCTTCTTTCATGCTCCAGGACCATTTAATGTCTTTTTAATCGCATCAATTGTCTCATTGAAAATATAGGTCTCCCAAACAGTGTGTATTTGCCTATTCGATGTTGTCAACATACTTGAACAAATGCCCTGGTATGCCAGGAACACTGCTTGGACACCAGATCATGCTTAGCTGATAGAGGATCTGTAGCAGGACAAAGTCCTTTATATCTTGACGATCAGTTGATTGTACAAGCTTTGTGAATAGATCTTCAACATGACATCTGGTAGATGCTAGAGGAGGAGCTCTACTGCTGTCACCCTCAGGTTTGGTAAAAAACCTCGACCAAATTCAATTTTTCCTATGTCAGTTGGGGCGACAAAATCCCCCTCATTGGAGAACCATATATGGCTCATTACCCAATCAAGGTTGAATGAGCACTCGATGTCTTCTCTAAGTTTTATATCAGTAAAGACAAATTTCATTTCATTCTCATCCCACTGTCTCAGCACGCACTCGAAAGTGGGAAGATCAAGACCATGAGGGCCAAAATGAACATAGTGTCTGAATACACTATCTTCGTAGGCCTCCCAATGCCTTTGCACCATATGTTGCTTTAAAGTATGCATGAATTCATAGTAAGTAGTAAAATTGGAAGTAGGTCGCAACTCTGATAGGGACTTTGCCTTTTGTCTATAAAGCAAAACCACAAGACATAATTAGTTTAAAAATAATTTGTAACCATAACAATTATGTTGTAAACTTGACAAAGAAATTGTAACCTTAACAATAAACCTATAAGCTTAACAACTATTCAATAACCTCAACAACCAATCAATAACTTTAATAATAAAAGCATAACCCTAATAACTAACAGGTCACAAGTTAACAGTAACATTTACAACTAACAATCACAAGTTAACAGTAACCTCCACAACTAACAACCACCCGTCAACAGTAACCTTCACAACTAACAATCACATGCCAACAGTAACCATCACAACAAACTCTTAACCTTAACAACTAACATGCCACATGTTAACAGTAACCTTAACAACTAATAGTAACCTTCACAACATATCCATAACCTTAACAACTAATGCATGACCTTAACAATTAATGAATGACCTTGACAACTACAAGCTAACATTCACAACTTAACTGTAACATTCACAATTAACACAACATGCAACATCATAAACAACTAAATTTTGCGGTGAAAATCACTTGTTTTGTGCTGTCATATGCGTCTCTTTAGATCCTCTCTTTAGATCCAGGAGCGCTCTAGAGGCGTCGTCGGTGCCGGTTGTGTCCTCTAGATCTGTGCGTTGAGCTTACTTTTTGGGTTGAGCTGGACTTGTGGGAGAAGAATGACTGGCTGTGATGTCCTTTAGAACATCAACAATTAATGTGCCAGCTTCAGTCCACTCTGCTATGCTCGAAGGTCTTTTTGAGATGACGTACTGTGACGCGTCGTCGTCTTTGCTGAAATCAACAGGGGCAACTGCTTTGGGAGTTGACTTGTCGGTCATTTTTCTGATCAGGTGTAGGATTAAGTTCTGGGGTGAGGTGATTTAGGGTTAGGGTTTTGAAATAAGGATGATCGGTTCGCTTGGACAGAAGAGAGCTGAGATGGCACGATCGACGAGGAGTGGTATTGAGAAGTGGGAGGTAATTAAATCAAAGGGCATTTTGTGGAAAGTTTTTTTAAAACATCAGGTCACGTGGGAAGGGGTTTTGGGGGCTAAAGGAAATATTTTGAGGGCTTTGGGATCGTTGAAAAAGTCTTTGGGG